ATCTTATCAGCCTAGGGTCGCATTTCTTCTTGCGTCCACATCCTTGGTTGGTTATGGTCCAGTGAAGCTCATGTTCTTTTACTAATATTAGCAGCTGTTGTGTGAGGGACACGACTTTTTCTCCTTCACCTTTAACATGAAATAGTTCTGGGTTAACTTTTAAATCTCAGTGGGTTAAAGCTGTTGAATCAAAGGTCAAAGGTCAGTCTTTGAACTTTGCTGTCAGAAGATGGTTTTGGCCTCGTCTCTGCTCGGGCTAGGTGTTAGTTTGTCAGTTGGGTCAATATTAACTGTTTCTCCACACTGATATGGATCAAAGGCCTATCTGCAACAAGTTAAATATTAATTGTTAATAACTTTTCCCTAAAACCTCATTTTAAAACTCATAATTGGCTGTTTGTTTGACGTTTTGTGGCTCTTGAGAAAGCATCAACAGATCTGATGTGGAGGATGTTCACAGTTTGAGTTTCTTCAGGACTTGTGTCAAATATTTTCCTAATGTGTTGTTTTTGCACATAACATTTCATAAATTCTTTTTATGTCGAATCCCCTTACCTGCAGCACTGACGACTGATCTACTGCGGCCCCCCGTGCGTCTGATTTTTACAAATATTTTTGAAGTATTAGGACTTTTTTCCCCCATTGCAAACCAACAGGCACACAGTGAAACAATTAAAAGGATGAGGTTATTACTTTCTCTTAGATTAACTAATAACTTTAAATCCTCTTAGTGCTTTCCTTATGTGTCGGTCATGTGTGACTGATCCCAAATTGTGTCTCCAAAAATAATTTGCTGATATTTAGGTCAAAGTATTTTTGATTTTGTGGCTTGACCCCTTTCCCTCAATTATACAGTCTCATCTTTAATTTCTTTATTATGTTCATAATCAATTTTTCCTTTCCTTTCCTTTCCTTTCCTTTCCTTTCCTTTCCTTTCCTCCTTCTTCTCCATCCCCTCCTTTGTTCTCACCCTGCTCTCCGTCCCCCTTCTCTCACTCCGTGCTGACCTGGACTGTGAAAACCTCACTTTCCCCAGCATGCATTGTAAATAAGAATGGTTATGTAATGACTTAATACTAAGCAAAATTTCACGCCTTTAAAAATAGTTAAACAAACAAACATACAAACAAACAAACAAACCTCTTCTAACAGGATTAGGTGTAAACACGTGACAATGGGTTGCATATAGGTTATGATGTCCAAGTGTTTGGAAGTTATGTGAGTTATCCCTCATGTGCACTTCAGTGTCTTAGCAGGATAAATGACCTTGAATGCCCCCCCTGCAAATAATAGATCTCTGCACATGTAGCTGCACGTGTATTTTCTGCACGTTCATAAAAACAGACAAGTTAAAAAAAAAAGAAAAAGAAAACATTGAGGTTTGGGAGAAAGAAAGACACCGAGGGGAGGACGAACCCCGGGCTCTCCCTATTGTCAACCAGGGCTATTTGAAGTTACACATAACCCAGTTACAGGGAAACCACTGTGTGTGTGCGTGTGTGGAGTTTTTCGGAAGGGAGAGAGACAGAGATGAATGGGGTGGGGGGCGCAGATAAAAGTCAGCGGAAAAAAGTAAGAGACAGGAGGAATAAATGAACTGAATGGAGGAAGAAAAAAAAGGTTGAATATCATCACTGGGTTTCGGTATGGAAATGCTAGCTGGATGACTCTCAGCTACTGCACACAAATTAGCTTATACAGCGGGTAAAATAAGTATTGAACACGTCACCATTTTTCTCAGTAAATATATTACTAGAGGTGCTAATGACATGAAATTTTCACCAGATGTCGGTAACAACCCAACTGATCCATACATACAAAGAAATCAAACCATAAATGTCCAAATGAAGTTATTTGTAATAATGTGGAATGGCACAGGGAAAAAGTATTGAACACACTTACTGAAATTTATCTAATACTTTGTACAAAAGCCTTTGTTGTCAATGACAGCTTCAAGACGCCTCCTGTTTGGAGAAACTAGTGGCATGCATTGCTCAGGTGTGATTTTGGCCCATTCTTCCACACAAACAGTCTTCAAATCTTGAAGGTTTCGTGGACCTCTTCTATGAACTCTGATCTTTAGTTCTTTCCATAGATTTTCTGTTGGATTCAGGTCAGGTGATTGGCTGGGCCATTCCAGCAGCTTTATTTTCTTTCTCTGAAACCAAATGAGAGTTTCCTTGGCTTTGTGTTTGGGCTCATTGTCTTGCTGAAATGTCCAGCCACGTTTCATCTTCATCATCCTGGTAGATGGAAGCAGATTTTTATCAAGAATGTCTCTGTACATTTTTCCACTCATCCTTCCTTCAATTATTTGAAGTTTGCCAGTACCATATGCTGAAAAACAGCCCCACACCATGATGTTCCCACCTCCAAACTTCACTGTTGGTATGGTGTTTTTGGGCTGATGTGCAGTGCCATTTGACCTCCAAACATGATGTGTATTCTGGCATCCAAACAGGTCAATGTTGGTCTCATCTGACCAGACTATATTCTCCCAGTATTACACAGGCTTGTCTAAATGTTGTGCAGCAAACTTTAAAGGAGCTTCAACATGCTGTTTCTTCAGCAGTGGAGTCTTGCGTGGTGAGCGTGCATACAGGCCATGGTGGTTCAGTGCATTACTTATTGTTTTCTTTGAAACAATCGTACCTGCTAATTCCAGGTCTTTCTGAAGCTCTCCACAAGTGGTCCTTGGCTCTTGGACAACTCTTCTGATAATTCTTTTCACTCCTCTGTCAGAAATCTTGTGAGGAGCACCTGGTCGTGGTCGGTTTATGGTGAAATAATGTTCTTTCCTCTTCTGAATTATGGCCCCAACAGTGCTCACTGGAACCTTCAGAAGTTTAGACATTCTTCTGTAACCGATGCCATCATTAAGCTTTGCAACAATAAGGTTGTGAAGGTCTTGAGAGAGCTCTTTACTTTTACCCATCATCAGATGGTTCTTGTGTGATGCCTGGTCATCATTTGGGACTGAACCAGCTGATATTAACTTGCACTGACAAGGGGCAGGCTTGCTTTCTAATTACTGAGAGAGTTCAGCTGGTGTCTTGGCTTTCCATGCCTTTTTACACCTCCCTTTCTTCATGTGTTCAATACTTTTYCCCTGTGCCATTCCACATTATTRCAAATRACTTCATTTCTGGACATTYATGGTTTGATTTCTTTGTATGTATGGATCACTTGGGTTGTTACCGACATCTGGTGAAAATTTCATGTCATTAGCACCTCTAGTAATATATTTACTGAGAAAAATGGTGACGTATTCAATACTTATTTTGCCTGCTGTATATTAGATACCTTGCTAACACACAGACACAGTTTGCTTCAATAATTAATGGCAAAGGTTTTTAAAATATATCTTGCACAATCATTTAGCGCTCGGGGACTGTCAGCTATGAACACATCAAATTTTAGCTTAATATCTGTAAAATCAGCTGAATTTTAGCCATTTGTATCTCATTACAGTAAAATCCACCCTCTGGTTCAGGAGATATAATGCTAACGCTACAAACACACGCACATGCAGAGCAAAACAACCTTGAAAGATCAAAGTTTCTTTTACGGGATCAAACATGTTCTTCTTGCTTTTGAGTTTACTCGAGAGCGACAGAGACAGCATGAGAAACGGACTATTGTCCTCGGGGACAGCTTCAGCTCTTTGTACGGCTTGTTTGACACTGGAGTCACCGTCACAAGGCACACAAACACACAGCAGAGTGAAAGGCAGCGACAGTCAAATCCAAAAGGTGTCAGATGATACCGTTTTTCATTTCTTCCAACTCTGAGGTCAGCTGTTGGATTGTGGATAATGTTTTTAACAGCTAGAAGGAAAAAAAAGTTAAATAAAATTTAAAAGCCAAAGCATACAAAAGCATAAAGGTTATAATTAAACTTGCAAATATTCTGCTAAAGGTGGAGTTTTATAATGTTTTTTGAGTTATGTACTGCAGGGCCATGTGCTGGAATTGTTTTTTGTCACAAAAATAAAACAAAGTCAGCTTCAGTTTTTCCTGGTTTGCTCAAATGAAGCATAAATTGGTGGATTAGTTATTTTTTTATTTATTTTATTTTAATAAACAAAATGATTGGATTGCACAGTAGTGCACAGATGTTCCCACATTTTGTACAAATCAATGTGAACATGATTTCCATCTTGTAAAATAAGAAATCTTATGAAGGTAGAAGATTAGATCCATGTCTTCATTGTTGAATGCTGATTTGTAGGAGAGGC